AACTTAAGGTTCGTTAGTATTAGTTGCTAGCTTCAGAAACAATAGTATTTATTAGTTAAGTTACTAACTTAAGTACATATAGGGTAGTCTGTACGTAACCTTACGTATATATATATATATATATATATATATATTAAGGGTTATTAAGATAACTATTGTATTAAATTATTGTACACAACAAATTCATAATATCAGTTACATCATCATGTGTAAATACAACATTACCCTTAGTATATTGTAGATACTTAAGACTAGTTTATATATGTCATTTACAGTTAAAATAATTATCTGTTAGTCCTGTGGAAATTTCGTTGACGATGTTTTAGACGAAAATATTCGAGTTGTTTTTTATTTATTTTCGTCAACAATGATTATGAGTGGACTCAAGTCTTCTAAAATGACGAGGTCGATAACGACCACGCATCGTTGACTATGTTTTAGACGAAAATATTCGAGTTGTTTTTTATTTATTTTCGTCAACAATGATTATGAGTGGACGCAAGTCTTCTAAAATGACGAGGTCGATAACGACCACGCAAAGTAGTTAGAATAACCGGGTAAGGCTAGACGAAATACAGGTTTTTTGTTTTTTTCAACGAAAACGTTTGTGCAAATGAATTGGTGACTCTCCCGTGAGCTTGCCGATAAGTTCATTAGCTGCATTCGCAAATTATTTGTGGAGAATAAAAAACAGTTGATGGGTGACTATTTGAGACGCTCCAAATTCTTTGTTGGTGTTGGTTCATATACCGGTTATCTTCAGGGACCATATTAATATTTAGCTGCCTTGTTTTTTAGCAGTGTCTTGTAGACTTTTACTTATTAGCCTGCTCCTTGCTTACACTGATTTAGTGTCGATTTCCTATATTTTTCATAAATGTAATATTCAGGTAGATAAGGAAATGTTCAAAATAAATCTGATATCAATGAAATCCTACAACAAAAGAATATGTGGACTAAGAGGTGATAAAATTATTGTCCATAGATTAAGTGACTGACTAATTCCATGATTTAAGTCTTTTGATTAAACTAAGACTATAACTAAATAAAATTCTATTTATTTTTGTCAACATGACAAATGCAAAAAATGCACAATGAATTAACACTGTCTATTACCTATCTGTTATGTATCTGCTTGTTTGTTAATTTCCCTTAGAAATTCTAACCGAGAAACTTCA